TTTAAAATTGCTTCAAAAGGAAATCCGCAGGCACACAGAAATATATAGAGAGATATATATGGGTGTATATGCCGCGTGCAAGGGTTCCGCCGCACCCTTGCTACATCTCCGCTTCTTCAGGCGGTTGGGTCGGGGCGGCGGGGGCCGCGGGCGGAGGGCCGGGGGGCCGCACCCACTCCCAGCTCAGCTCTGCCTGCTCGCTTGTAAAAAAACTGAGTTCAATAACTATCCAAAGCTGCAACTTGGTTGAAACGTTCGCGGCCTCGTCCACGGTGTAAACGTGCAGAAACTTTTCCACGCGCACAAACGGCGGGCCGCCGCCTGGATTCCGGCGCTCTATCCGCACAATCATCCTTCGACCTTCCTCGTCGGGCAAAGGGGAGGTCTCTCCACTGCCATGCGACCCGTCTGGGCGCGGCTCCCCAATACAAATCGTTTCCGATCCCACCCCTTCTTCTCCTTCCGCGGAACCCGCGCGCGAGGTTCTGCCAAATTGCGCATGCAAAAGCTCCACTGGAAACGCCATCACCGATTGCTGTGCCGCGAGGATGGCAATCCGAACGGCCTCACCCAGTTTTCTCTCCTTCACCACTTTCTTGTACGCATGCCGCGCGTTCCCCAGCGCCCTCCGAAGGGAATTGAAAACCAGCGAGCTCAGCCCTTCCTCCCCGCGCTCCCCTTCAGACGCGCGCGCCTGCGTGGCGGCATAAGGCAACGACATCCCATCGTACGCGTCACTTAGCAGCCGTTGTATGCGCTCTAGTGCGACAGAGGCGTCGCTGCAAGGGGCCCCGTCAACCATCAGCGTCTCTCGGGCGATGTCGCGTTGAAACTGCGCCCACACAAGTGGCCACGCGCCGTCTTGAAAGAGCGGCGGCGCCGCCGCCGCCAAACGCAACGACACCGCCCCGCCCGGGGCGACGGCCGTGGGCCAAATGCCACCGCCCGGAGGGGCGTGCCGTCTCCCCCCGGCCACGCCCCGCGACACCCGGCAGAAGCCCAGCAGCATATCCTCGATGAACCCCCCGCGGTCAACCAACAGCGTCCCACTCATTTTCCCCGCGAATTCCATGGATTCGTCCAGCGAAGGCAGCCGCTCATCCACCACGCGGTGGACGTAGCCCTGCGGGGTGGCCGCCGGGGAGAGGACGTACGTAAACGATTCCTCCTCCATCGGCCAGCAAAGGCCGCCGCACCCAGCAAGGAGGGTAGCAGGCAGGCGGTTCTTATGTGTCACTCCACGGCTCTCTCTCTCTCTTTTTTTCTTTCTGTCTTTTCCTTTTTTTTCCCCTTCGGGGCCCACTCCGAGCGCCACCAGACACAACAGCAATGGGGAAATGAAAGGCGCACAACCACCCCCCACAGCCGCACGACCCGGACCCGCGGCGCACGAGGATTGGAATTGACCACCGCAAACCCAAATAATGAGTCAACAGAATCAACAAATCCACCCCGCAGTGCTACGCCTCTTTGCCCCCTCCCCACTCTGCTCCGTCTCTCTGCTGGCGAAGCGGGGGCGGGGGCGGGGGTGATCTGTTCTTGGACGTCTTAAAAAAAAACAGAAGGAAAGAAGAAGAAGAGAAAACAAATTCATTTTTACTTTTTTTTTTTTTCGTTTCTTTCTCAAAAGGAGAAAATAAAATAAAATAAAACACACACACACACACACACACACACTTCGCGTTTCCCTGCAGGGAGGGGAGGTGCTGCATTTAAGAGACACCGCCGTCTCCACACACATACATAGAACCCGGGCGGGGAGCAATGCTGCATCAATGCTCCCGCAGACTCCCGAGCACACACACACAAAAAAAAGAAAACAAAAGAAAAGTTATCAACAACAACTATTAGGAGTAAAAACGAATATATGCAGCTACGCATGCCAAATAGAGAGATACAGGTACGCATGCATTCGCCCTAACGCAGTCGTGGGCTGAGGGAGAAAAAGAGCGAGCGAGCGAGCACGCGCGGGAAAGGCAAAAACACAAGCACAAACGCGCCCCCACGCTCCGTACGGTGAAGCAACAGCAGCAACGGCGGAACAACAAAGGTGTGACAAATTACTATTGCGCCATTTCCACAAGAACTTCTCTTAAGGTTTTTAAATGCCCAAACGTGGAGAAGTGGTTTCGTCGAATGCGTTCGGTATATGCCAGCAGCACCGTCGCAACTCCCATGACAACGCAGGCGCTTACACTGAGCGCAAAACCGGCCGCTAGTACATACTTCTTTCGGTGATACGACACAGCACCTGCGCACCAATCACGGTAGTAGATGCAAAGCAGCAGCACCCACTGGATAACGGCCACCGCGGTGGAGGTGTAGCCAAGCACCAGGGCATGCCGCACAAATCCAAAGAGCCCCTTGGCAAGCAAAACACCAAACAGAAAGGTGGCTGCGTTCAGAATGATAGTCAGGATGCTAAACAGCTCGACCGCCAGAAAACAGCGAAAGACGGGGCGGCACCCAAGGTTCCCCACCTCAGTGGAATTGTGGGAGGAGTTGGTTACCCAGAGAACGCTGTAGCGCTCCCTCCACAGCAGGACCTCCGTCAGGGTGCGCCTGGCGATGTCCTTGTAAAACCACTGGGGGATGGGGCACGCCACCAGGCTAAACAGAAATGCCACGAAGGCGAGCATGGCAAATGCATTCGCACCGTATTCTATGACGCGTGTGTCCATCGGAAGAGGAACCCGGTTGTACACCGCCACTCCCGCAAGGGCGCTCAACACCCAGGCCGTCATCGTGGTGGCGAATCCTAAATGCAGTTCAAACCCACGTGAGTGATAGCTTGTCCCTGCGCCGCATGCACTGAAGCTCCTCGTAAAGAGGTCAATCCCCACCGACGATTCCGCCGTTAAGACAACGAAAACGACGGCAACACAATAAATAAGCGCGAGCCGAAGTTTGGAATTTCCCCGCATAAAACGATCTCGTACCACAGAGAGAAAAAGAGTAAAGAGGGAGATGGCGAGAACCACAACGGAAAGTGCTTGCAACGCCACCACCTCCCGCCGTGCTGGGGCGCAGGCAATGAGTCCATTCCCCATGCTCCTTTTAGCACTGCCCACCGAGATGGTTGTCTTCCAAAGTTGAAACATTTCCCCGACGTTCCTTCCCTCAGGCCCCGCGGCGTACTGCTCCATGAGGAACCACGGCGCCCCCACGGCAACCGCCAAACAGACACAGATGAGGACATACGCCCCCGCCACAACTTTCGGGCCGATATCAAACTCATGCAATGGCGGCGGGCGCTGTTCGGAGGCCGTGCTGGGCTCCGGTGTCGTGGGGGCCGCCGTTGACACATCCGCGTTCAAATGTGGCCTTCTCGACCCCACATTATTTGTCTCGTTCATTGACTGCTTCTCCACACGCTACACCGTCACAACTATACCCAGAGCAATGAGAGGCAGCAGCAGCAAGGTGGGGAAATGCACAAAAAGTGAAAGTGATGCCGCATTTGGCAGCCCCGCCCGACGTGCACAGGACACCGCCACATGTTCTTTTTTCCCCCTGTTAATGAGCACGCCATCACACACTCGACTCTACTGTTATCTTAGTCGCTCTTTCCTCTCTCTCTCTCTGCCCACCCTCTTTTGTGTGTGTGTGTGTTTGCTTCGTCTCGTTCATTAACTCCGTCGCCACACGCGCATGACTAACCGCTGCATTCCACCAGCCTCATCCATGCGACTCACCTCAGCAGTCTCGAGTCCATGGATGGCAGCGCGCCTTTGGAACTCGAGCGCCCCACCATTTGTGCCAAAGTAATACTGCTTGCTGGCGATGTATGCCACCCCCCCTGCAGGGGAGAGGCAGCGGCCCAACATCGCCGCAAGCTTCTCACAGGCCTCCTCGTCGAAGGTAACATCACTGCCCAGCACCACCCGGCAGCGCACATCGTGCGCCTTCGCTTCAGCCCCATCCTCGGCAGCCTGCCATTGTAGGCGGCTCCAGTCGCCAGAGACCATCTGCACCATGGGCGGCGTTGGTGGCCGCGGCCCACACAACGCCGCGTCCTCCGCATGGCGCAGCCAGTTAGCCGCAACGTTGGGCCTGACACAAGTCTGCAACACCTCCTCGTTGTAGTCCTGAAAGATCACGCGCCGAGCCCCCAGGAGAAGTGCCGCAATGCCAGGAAGACCCTGCCCACACCCAACCTCAGCAACGAGAGGATATGCCGCAGCATCCTCCGCAAACGGCGTCGGCGGGGTGTTGTTTGCGGTGGACTCAAAAAGACGCCTGAACGTGTCCCGGTTCTCAAACATGTACTCCACCAGATACGGCGCACACGACCACACCTTCAACCCGCCATAGTACTTTCCAGGGATAATGTCCCGCCGCTCCAGTTTGCTTCCATCGCTCGTGAGCCCCGACACATCCGGGGCGCGCTGGTAGAGCAAGGGGGGGAACTGGATTCCGGCTGCACGACTCACAAGCTCCATCTGGTCCCGCGGGTCCGTCGGGTAGCACCCCGCCCACTCCCTCACCAGCTCCACTCCCAACGCGTACACGGGAAGCTGCGCGACAAGTGCCACGGGCACTGCCTCCGCGGAGTCTGCGGAGGGGCCTCCACGACGCGCCGGTGGGGGCGACGCCGCCGCCGCATCCTCATCGTCACCGTCGCCAAAGGCGAAGCGAAAGCCTTCAGAGGACATGGCAATTTCCCTCCCCCTCTATCTTCTTCTCTCTTTCCGCAGAGGATCGCCTGCCTCCGCGTGTGTCGCTAGCAGCAAAATGGGGTGGGAGGAAAGAGGAAGCAAACAAATAACAGAATAAAAGCGAACAGCTCGGTGTGTGTGTGTGTGTGTGTGTGTCAGTATATATATACATATATATTTCCGTTGCCCCGCAACTGGTCCGGCGCAGAGTCGTGTCCCTACTGGGCGCGCACTGAGAAAGCTGCAGCCCGATTCCACGACAGGCGCCAAACGACAGAAGACACACAGACAAGCAACGACAAAACAGGAGGCGTGTACGTTGCGCGACATGGCGGGGAAGCCGCGCGAGCAACAACAACAACAACGCAGACGCCTTTTACGTGTAGACTCTCCCCAGTTGATAAAAAGCGCAGTGTTTTGCTTGTTGTTTTTCGGCGTACTCGTACGAGGTGTACCCCCGTCCATTTAGCATGTCCTCCAGGCTCTTGGCGTAGAGGTGGTTGACCGACGCCGCGGTGTAGTACTCGTTGAGCGCCTGCGGGAGCAGCAAGTTCATCCCCCGTTGAAAACTGTTTTGGAGCCGCAGAAAGGGATTGATGTGCTTCATTCGCTCATAGTACAGGCAGCGATCCGTGATCTCCCGCAGCGCATCGCCGCTGCAGCCACGCTCCTGGCTGTACTGCCTAATAGCGTCGTAAAAGTGCTTAGAGTAGGCGTCCACCTGGTTCAGCAGGTTGACGCCGTCCTCGAGGCCCATCGCCAGGCCCTGCAGCCAAAAAGGGTTGCAGGTGTGGGCCGCGTCCCCCACCACCACCGCGGAGGGAAGCCCGACGCTGTTAAACAGGTTCTCGCAGTAAATGGTTGGGTGCGGTACGGCACCGCGCGCGAGCGAGCGCAGCCGACACGTCGCGTCGCTCCCCGCAAGGTCAGGGCAAAAACTACGCAGCACCTCCGCATCAGAGAGGCGCTCAATCTCGCCGGCAGGTCCATACACCATAAGCGCAAAACTGTTACTGCCCCTGTCGTCGGTGTCCGCCGCGTTGTCCTCGCCGCCGCCGCCGCCGCCGCGGTGGTGGCGCGGAAACGCAATCGCGAGCGGCACCTGGCACGGCGAGCAGACGCCACCCCGCCCCACCGCCTCCCTTCGCTTCTGCAGCCAGCGGTGGATGTGCGCGTGGCTCAGCTCGCTGCTCATAAGCAGAAACCAGCGAATGGCGAAGTCTTCATCCGCGGCGAACCCCTCCACGTCCACGAGATCGCGAAGGTTCGAGTTCGCCCCCTCCGCGGAGACAAGCAGGTCATATTCCACCGCCGCGGCGGCAAACTTCCTCTCCCACTTCGCACGGTGAAGGGTGAGGCTGGTCTCCATGCGGGGACGCCGCCTTGCTACAGCTACAGCGCCTGCAACACCCTCTCTCTTCGCGTCTTCCTCACCGCCTGCTGCGGCAGCATCGTCTTTTTGGTGAACCCCGCCGCACTGCTGCTGCTGCATTCGCCACGCATGTGTGTGGCTCTCGCGGATCGGCTTCACCACAAGCTGCTGCCTCAGCGGGTAGACCGCCTCCACGACGTGCTCGTGGAAGACGCGGCAGTTGCCTGTAGGCAGCGCCTGCACGTGGAGTTCCAGCAACTGCCGGAGCGCCAGCAGGTCCATCGACAGCATCTTGACGGCGAACGGGTGGTGCTCCGTCAGCCCACGCGTCAGCCAGCTGTTGTACGCGCCGGGGTGGTCCATAACACCCGACACGGCCACCCCGCACTGCCGCAGCTCGCCCATCGACAGCCCCGCCGCCTCCAGCGCATCCGCCGCTCGCCGCGTCACGAGGGCGTGCTGGAGGCCAACAAACGGCCCGCAGGAATGCCGCGCCGCGTCTGACGCCGCCTGGGCCGCGCCAGCCGCCTGCATCGGCGACGCGGCGCCACGCAGCGGCAGCATCAGCGGGGAGGCGTGCTGCTCAACGACGCTCGTGTGCCACCCGCGCAACGCAAAGAGCGCCGCCATCGTCAACCCCACGACACCGGCGCCGGAGATGACGACGTCGCCCTTCTGCGGCGAGGGCTCCCCGGCGAGCACGGGCTGCCAGTGCTCCCCGCGCACCGGGTAGGCGCGGTTGCTGATGGGCTGCAAGTCCAACTCCTTGGGGGGCTCCGAGGAGTCGAGCCGCCGCCCCGAGCCATCCGTGTAGCGGTTGGTTGACCCCAGAAGACGCCAGCAGCGCTTCCACATCCCCCAGCGGCTGCCACGCCCTTTTTTCCCGTTATTGTTTTGCTTTGTTTTGCTGAACAGCCTCCCGTTCCTCCGCTCCCCAGCAGCCCACGAAGAAAGCGAGCGAGAGAGAAAGGAAACAATAGATGCAGCCAAAGAAGGAGGCGAAGGTGCATGGCGCGGGAGGGGCGGCGCGGCGAAGGGCAAAACACGCACCACCGCCTGCAGCAAATGGACAATCCAAAGGTACAAAACTCCGACGCAGCAGCTCCGCCCCAGGCGTCACCCCGGGGCTCATCCACCAGTGGCACCGCTTCTTGAGCAGGCTGCAAGCATCAACAGCTCCTCCATCTCACCGATGCGGCCGCGCCGCTTCAACGCAGCGACGACCTTCGCTGCCGCCCGACGAGAGACGACGCCACTCTCGCAGGCGTGCATGAAGGAGCGGCACAGGGTTGCATTCCCCTCCGCCGTGAACATGTGGTGCCGGGCAAAGCCCCGGCTGGTGGTGGACGTCACACCGTCGTGCTCATCGCAGCAGCTGAGGTAGTCCCGCATGGCACGCAGGGCCAATTCTTCGCTTCCTGCTAGGCGCGCCGCCCGCAGGAGGGAGAGGAACACATTCACCCCCTCCGTGAGACGATACCCCTGCTTCCAGTATGCCTCATACATTGCAAGCGCGGCGGGAGGAGAAAAGACGCAGTGGCGCAGCATCTCAATCATATTCCGCTGCGGCAAAGCCGGCGCTGCCCGATCGTGCGTCAACTGACTGTAGCACCAGCAGGCCAACTCCCAGGAAAGCAGGCCACCGTCAGCTCTGGCGCCGTCATGCGAGTGCAACGGGCCTTTTTTTTGCCCCTCCCCCACCCACGTGGCATCTGTACGCATCCGATGCAGGGCTAAGTGAGCCACGAGCTGCTGCACCTTTGTCGGGCGCGACACAGTGGAGAGTGAGTGCCTAAATAGCTCCAGAGCCGCGTCCCACGAGGGGCAGCGACGGATCAGCTGCTCGGTGTAAAAGGCAGGGAAGACGACTGTCGTGTGCGGCGGCCCATCGTCGCGAAGAAACAACTCCAAGGCGGTCTCCCACGGCAAGCGTTGCGTGAGGCACGCCACATGGAAGGTATGCAGGGCATTCCGCACCCGTTGCAGCTCCTCCGCTTCCGCCTGACCCGCCCCCCGCTTCTGCGCGGCAAGCGCGTGAAACAGCCTCTTGTCGGCGCGGCAGAGCAGCCGCACCGCGGCCTGCCACCGGGCCACTGCAGCCGGGGCAGCCGCAGATTCGGAAATGCCGGCGCGGCTACACTCGTCTCTGACAGCATCCACCAACGCGCGCCACAGCCGATCTTCTGCGACAAAAAATAGTAGTGACGAGCGCAGTCTCGCCGCCGCCGCGGGTTCCACGTCGTTCACTGCAAGCTCCATCCCAAGTTGCACCACGGGACGCATGCGTGCGAGACGTGCGATGAAGGCCGCCGCGCGTCTCCCCTCGCCGCGCAGCTCGGACTCCGCCCTCAGTAAGATTCTCTCATGCAACTTCATCAGGAACGCGCAAAAAATGTGTCGCAGCCGCGCCTGGGGAGAGGCACCGCCGCCACCCTCGCCCTCCACGAGGCCCGCAGCGGTGGTCACGCCACTCTGCTGCAGAAGCGCCGTCGGCGTCAGCCCCACGAGAGCCGTGATCTGCGACTCCAGGCTGGCGGAGGTGCGGGTGGAGGCGGCCACCGTGGCCGGCAGGAGCCCAACAACCCAACACCACGCGGAGACAAATCGGCGGTGTGCTTCCTCGCCCTCTTGCACCCGCAGCGCCGCCGTCAGCGCCGGAAGCAGCCGCGAGGCCAGCCAGTAAATGTCACGCCACGAACCCATCAGCAACGCGGCCTGTACAAAGCGTGCAACCACGTGCTCCACCGCGGCGCTCTCGGTGTGCGCGGGCGGCGCCGTCGCCATCCCCGCCAGCAGCGCCTCGACGGCCAGCGAGGCCACACCCCGCCCAGAGAGCTCCAGGAGACGCAGCAGCAACTCCTGCGTGTTGTCCGCCCCGCGGCACGAGGTCTCGCCGGCCTTCATCGACGTAGAAGAGGCGGCAACGTCGCAGACGAAACGAAAGAGGAGTCCCACCACGGCCTCCGTCGTCGTGCAGACGTCCCACGCGGCGGCGATGTTCGCGCCACGGCAAGTACCACCGTTGCTGCAGCTATGATCCTCGGCGTCGGCAGCGGTTCGGTCGGCGGAAGGGGCACCCGTCGCCGCGTCCAAGAGGCCAGGCAGCGTCAGAAAATGTGTCTCGCACGCCATAAGAGTCCGCCACGCTGCCGGCAGCGGTGTAACCGACGTATGCGGCAGAGAAGTATAAATACTGACGGCATCACCGCCGCCTCCCGCCTCCTCCCCAAGGACCTGAGTGTATAGCTTGAAAAGGGCCAGCCGCACGGCACGCCCCGGAAACGCCATCTCCAGAAGGAGCAGCAGGGAGGCGGCCACAAGTGCAATATCCACCAGACACACCCGATCCTCCTGCAGCGAGCGTTCCCGCACCCCATGGCGCAGCAGATGCGGAATAAGGCGCTCCAGCAGCAGGCACGAGAGTGGGACTGTGGGCGGCGGCGCCACGGTCCCCGTATGGTGGGGCGAGAGCGGCAAACGACTTTGCAACACCCTGTGGAGCAGGCCGAACACCGACTTCCACACCTCCGCGTGTGCAACCGCCTTCTCCCCGCACGCCGGCCAAAGGCGTTTCCAAAGCGTTTCGCCGAGGTGACGCAACTCAGACGGCTCCACAGCTTCACGCCGAAGGAGCGACTTTTGAAGCGAGGACGAAGACGCCACGTAATCGGCAAGTTCTCCCATTAACCCATAAAGCGGACTCGGCGGGATAGAGGAAGCGGAAGAGGAGCGGGGTCGTGTGTGTCGGCCCAACAGGGCAAGGAAAGAGCCATCGTCGCAGAACTCCGCGGCGTGCGGCCCGTACAGCTCCATCGCAGCCATCAAGGCCCTGTCGAGGTCCACGCGGGGCGGTGCCGCCTCCAGTGCGTCACGGAGCAGCTGAAGCGCCTGGTCCCACCGCAGCCAGAGACGAATGTGAGCCGCCTGCATCGCCGCCCTCGAGCTTTCAGAAGGCCTATGCGACGACACAGTTTGGGTGTCATGCTCCACACCCATAGGCGTTCCTCCCTTCCGAGGAGCGCCGTCTGCCGGCTGCAGCGCGCCGGAGAGCATGATGCCCGAGAAGACATGCAGCGGTGCAGCAACAGGGGCCCCATCGCCACGTTCCGCACAGGGAGTGCGAAGCAGCAGCCACATGGCGGTGCCGCGCATCAGCGCCGGGCTGCAGCCAAGCGAGCGTCCAGCGGAGACCGCAACAACGTGCCCCAGGATGGCGTCCATCACAGTCAGCTGAAGGTCGTGAAGTTGACCGCCTAGCAACAAGGCGAGCATTCGCCTTTCCACAATTTTTGGAAAGGCAGAGAGAAGCCGATACACGGTGTGCCGCGTGGCAGCCGCGTGCTCGGCGTCCCCCGCGACGTCTGCCGGCTCCAACGCCAGTAAGGCGGCGGTGCAGGTCTCCTCCTCCATTCGAGCGACGGCGCGGGCGGCGGGGGAGGCAGTGAGGAGACGCAGCACCCTTGACGCCTGGCTTCCGTCCACCGCCGGCGGCCTCTCCAACGAGGCCCAGAAGTGACTCTGCGCCTGCAACGTGTTAAATACCGCGACGAGCGCGGCTGGACTCCACAGGGCTTTGAGTGTCTCCTGCGACGTGGATTGGGCCGCGTCTACAATAGCCCGCAAACACGCACGCGGGCAGCAGGACCAAGACATGACCTTCTGTGCCATTTGCGGCAGCTCCGCCTGCCCTTCACAGAGCAGCATGTAAATGAGGGTGCAGCCGGCCTGTTGCATGGTGCGCAAGTGCTGTGGCGAAACGAGGGTTAGGTGATCCTCAAAGGGGGCCCGCGCGGAGATCCCACTGGAAAGCGGCGGGAGCGTTTCGTGCTTCGCCGCGGCAGACGTCTTCGGCGTGCGTGGGGCGGAGTCAGCGGCGGCTGCGGTTTCCGTGACCCTCACGGTAATGCCGTGGATGCCATCCAGGAGAAGCGGCACAACCAGCTGCCGCCCCGCATCGCCCCCGCACGGGGGCGAAGGGGAATGCAGCCCCTGCCAGGCCTCCAGCGTGGTGACGTCGTTGACCAACGCCGCAACCATGCGCGTCTCGGTTTCTATTTCCTCCCTTCGCGTTTGCAGCGGCGGTGTGGCGGTGGGGGCTGCCGCATTGCTGCTCATCACAAGCAGCCAACGCTCCACGCGCAGGGGCGTGGCGTACGACGCAGGCAAGCACGCAACCTGCGAGCACAGCAGCCAGCGGTAGTGCTGCTGCAGCGCGGCCAACAGGTCGCCGCCGGCGTGAGGGCGGCTAAACGCGGTGAACCAAACGTACAGCGTGTAGTTGACGTCCCAGACGCAGTTCATGACCTTTTCAAGGCACGCAGCTACTTCCGCGCCAACCGCCGTCCAGGCAGCGCCCAACGAGGCAAGGAACCACTGCGTAAAGGCTTCGCAAAGCCCCATGTACTCTACAGCCCCCTTCTCCACGGACTCCTCCAGGTGCCTCGCCGCATCGTTGGCGCGAGTGGGCGCTCCCTCCTCACCCCCTTGACTACGACGCCGGTGCGCATCAAGCGAGATCTTCATGATGAGAAAATGGAAGGTGCGACGCAGTTTGTCTAACACGGCAGCCAAACTCTCCGCGAGGGCGCTTACTCTTCCAGGCGTTGTCCTTGTCGCTGTTGCTGCTGCTGCGGCAACGGCGGTGGGGAGGAGTTGATTGGCCTGCAACAGCCGCGGAAACAACTGACGCACCAATGGCCAGTCGTGCAGCACCTCCTCGTGAGGTCCGCTGGTGAGGCACTGAACCACAACCGTCAGCGCCGTCAGCGCCTCCGAGCACAGCCGATGGCGCGACCCCGTTGCTGCTGCTGCTGCTGCTGCGGTGGCGGCATCCTCCACTTCGCACCGGAGGAGCCTCAGCAGCAGAGGCTGCAGGAAACGCACGAGGCGCCGCAGCAACCCCTTCACACGATGCCGGCCTGCCCACACGAGCGTCTCCAAGAGAAGTTCGTGCGACAGCCACATGGCGGGGTCGACGAGGCCGGGCGACGCGTCCAGCGAGGCGAGGAGCGTCTCGAGCGCGGGAGGGGCGGCATCGTCCAGCAGCCAGCCCGCGGCGACGCCCTCCACAAATCCCTCCTCAGGGCGGTCGCAGCGCCGCACAAAGGCCCTGAGAACCCGGAGTGTTGATTCAGTGGCCTGCAACTCGGCGGAGGAGCGCCGCGAGAGCGGGCTGCGGAACCACCGCAGGCAGCGCAGACACTCCTGCCAAAGCGTCCAACGGCTCACATGCGACGCGCCTATTTGATGCCAAACGGCATGGAGCACCACCGTCAACACAAGCTCCGCCTCAGCGCGAATCCCCTCGTTCGCTTGGCCTGGAAGCCAAAGAACTATTTCCTCTAGGCGGTCTCTCAAGGCGTAGAGTAACGCCGTCGGCGGCTCAGCCCGCGTCTGCAGCTGTTGCAAAAGCTGCAGCGTCTCCGCGAAGAGCGACGCAAAGGCGCCTGCCCCGCCCTCTCGTTCATCATGGATCGCAATAAGCTGCAGCAGAGCGTGCACGGCATCGTTTGCGGCATATGCGACGTCGCCATCTAAGCCTTGCCGAGGATCCTGGGGCCGCGCTTCTGCATCCACGCTGCGTTTGACGCTCTCGAGCAGCTGCATTGCCATACTGCCGTCAATCCAGCCCTTCGAGAAGGCGCGTTGGGTTAACTGCAGTGCGGCGGAGGGGTGGGAGGCCGCACTGCACACGGTGTGACGAATTGCCACTGCCGTGATGGCGGTGCAGCTGTAGCGATCCGCGTAGTTTACCGCATCGGTCGCAGTAACGCCTGGGCGACGGCGGGCCTCCGCCGCCTCCCGTAGAAGTTCCTCGTCACGGATAACATGCGTCAGGACACTAAAGGCGGCCTCCCACTGGTGCTGTTGCTGCAGCAACTGGGTGGCGAGACCCACGACGAGGGTGTCCGGCCTTCGAATGAGCGCCACGTGGGAGAGCGCCTTGACCCACGTGGGTTGCGGCGCACCACCGCCTGTGCGTCTGCCCGCTTCCGCGCCCTCGTCTGTGGATGCCTGCAGAAGCCTCAGCAGCGGCGCATACACGGCGAGCGAGGTCCCACATGAGGCATTCTCAGCCCCGGAAAGCTGCCGCCGTGCGCTCTGGAGAAACCTCTCGTAAACCGCCAAGGAAAGCGATGTGAGATCTTGCAGGGCGTGATGTCGCGGTGTCGCGACGTCAAAGCGGCGGTGAATGAGCTCCAGCTGAATGCTGCGCAGCACGATGTCGTACATCTCTCTGGCACAACGGCAGACGCGGCAGACGCGGCGGGGTGCCTGAGCGGGTGGCAGAGCACCGCAGCAACGTCGTCGTCGTCGTCGTCGTCTTCTGCACGGCCCGGCAGCCCTTTTGCCTCCGCCGCCTCAAGCAGTTGGAGAAGCAGCGGGAGGTCGCGCTGCACCATGGCGGCCTGCGCCACCATCACCCGGCCCCGCGCGGTCCACATGCCGGCGGGGAGGCTCAGATGCAGCCAAAGCATCTTGGCGTACTGCTGCGACCTGCGAAGCACGAGAAGGGCGTCCTCCAAAACCCGCCGCCCCAACTTCGTCCCCTGCGCCTCCGGCTGCGCCGCCGCGAGGTGCCGCAGCAGACGCAGACTCAGCGCCCAGTCCCCAACTTCGCGAGCCGCAGTGCTGAGGAGGGGCAGAACCCCGTCGCCGAGGTCCACCGTACGGCTGCAGTCACGGTAGGCGTCCAGCACGGCCAGGTGCCTTCCCGCCGCCGCCATCATGGACATGAACAGCAGCACCGTCTCTCGCTCCCGCACACGATGCAGGAATGAGGAGAAAAGCAGCAGCGCCGCCTCCCATAAATGTTCTGGCGCCGCCGTCTCCCTTCGCACGGCGGGAGAGCCGGAAACGGGCCTTGCGGCAGCCATACGATGCAGGAATGGCCCCCGATGGTCTGTCGGCAGCGGCACAAGCAGCGTCCTGCCGTGGCCGCTGCCGGCTGCGCCTATGATTGAGTGCACACCTCCAAGGCGATAGGCCTCCAGCGCCAGTCGTAGCAGGCCATCAGAGACCGGCAAACACGCCTCACGTGCGCCGTCAAAGCACAGCAGTGCTTCTTCCCAGTGTCCCCGTGAGACCGCGGCGGCCATGAACCATTCGTAGGTCTCAGAATTTGGCTGGAGTGAAGCGGCCGGTTGGGGCGGGCCACGGACATCAGCGACGGCGTCCAGCGTACGCAGCGCCTCTTCCTCGCCTCCGCCAGCCTCGGAGGTGAGGATGCTGTCGAGAAACATCTCCACCTGCCGCATCTGCCGCCAACGCCTCTCGCGAACAGTGATGCCCAGCAGCACGTTGATGTGTGCAATGGATGGAGCAACGGTGTGCCGCGCCACGGCCTCGCTAAAGAGCTGAAATGCAGCATACCACGTCGCAACCACTTCCTCGTCCATCTGCGCGATGGCCGCACCCGCCCCTCCCCCCGCGCCCACCGCCGATTCCGCCATGGGGCAGGCGGGAGGGGCTCGCCCCGCGTCCTGGTGCGTGCCGGCGGACTCCCTCCTGCTCTTTAGGAGCAGCGCCCGCAGAATCCGCGGCGTCTGCGGCGCCGCTGCGCCCTGGGAAGCAGCTGCCAGCGCGCTCACGACGCGCTGCGGGTCCTTCGCGTGCCTATCGACGCGAGGCGGAGAGGCATCGCATGCTGCCTGCGCCGCGGCCGCGCCGCCCGCCGTGGACGCCGCGATGCAAAGCAGCGACGTGGTGAGGCCGTCGACGGGAGACCGTTTTTTCGCCTCCTCGTGGCTGCGGCCGCCGCGTTGCCGGCGGTGCGGCACCCGGCGCAGCAGCTCCGCGATGACGGCGTCGCAGCAGCATCTCCGCATCGGATCGCCCCACCGCCTCCCCGCTTCGTCCTAACGAGCAGAACCGACGCTAAAAGAAATTCCACCCACCCCCTTCTTCTTCTTCTTCTTCCTCGCCGAACGCGAACACGACGTCCGCAGAGGCCAGGAGAGCGCAGAGAGCGAGCGAGAGAGCGAGCGAGCAAGGGGATTTCCCATCCACACACGCAGGAGCAAATGCCACCCCCTTTTTCATTCGCCTGTGGGGTTCCTCCCCTCCCCCCCCTGGCGTGTTTTTTTTTCTTCATTGTCTCTCATCCACACCCACACTCTTCTCCCTCCTTCGCCTCTTCCGTCTAGTCGGCCCCACCCCTTCTTTATTCCCTTGTGCTTCGTTAGGCGCCACATCGCTCGCGTCTCCCTCGCGAGGAGGTGGTGCGTGCGGGTTCATGTCTGCTGGGGGACGGGCGGGAACAACTCGTCAAACGCCGCGGTGAAGGAGGTCTGGTAGTAGAGCGCGAAGTACTGCGCCTGCATCCGCAGGAGCGCCCCACCCACGCCGGTGGCCAGCAGCACGAGATTCCAAAGCAGCTGCATGGGGAAGGTGGGCGCGAGGCCGAGCGCGTCCCGCAGCCGCAGGAAGCCCGCACGCGAGACGGTGGGCGGGGTGTCCACCTCCACCCGGCCAAAGCCGCCGTAGAAGAGGGTGGCGATCGCCGGCGCCGCCTCGGGCGAGGTGGCGAGCGGCGCCGCGGAGTCGGCACTGCGGCTGTTCTCGCGGTCAAACTTCTCCTGGATGCACGTGCGGGGCAAGTCGCCCTCGGCAAACGTCATCTTCATAAAGAACCGCGGGTAGCTGCCGCGGAGGGAGGAGGCAAAAAAGCGAAACTCCACCGCCCGACCCGTGGGACTCAGCACGCGGCTGCAGATGGCACACTTCCGCTCGTCGTCCCAGGCGTGCTGGTGCACGTCGGAGAAGGTGACGTGGTGCAGCAGAAAGAGGTAAACCAGCGTGTCGCAAAGGGGGTGGCGCAGCCGGCAGCACCCCGTCGCGCCGGCGGCAGCGGGGGCGATTAAAACGCCACCCGACGCGGCTGCCGCGGACGACGACGACGGTGCGGGAGCCGCAACGGGGAAAAAGACGCCCGAGAGGTCGCCGTCCACGTCTCCCGCGTTTAGGTCTTCGCCGCCGCCGCCGAGGAAGAGCGAGGTCGACTGCAGCTCCGCCTGCGGAAGCAAACCCTGCTTCGTGGCGATGTCCGGCCGCAGCGAGGGGTGGCAGCACTCCCACGCATACACCAGGGCGCTCAGAAACTCCCCAAGCGCGGCCTCCCGCTCCAACGGCGTCCCCTCGCGGCGGTGCGGCGGCGGCAGGCCAAACTCAAGCCGAAAGAAGCGAATCACGTGAAGGCCGTCGATCATGGGGCGCCCCCCCGCCGCCGCGTCGACGCCGTCGTCGAGAAAAAACAGCGCCTTTCGCAGCTGCAGAGAGCGGCCTCCCGATTTTGCTGGCCGCGCGCCCGCAGCGGCGGCGGCGTCCACCGGGGGCGCCACGAGAAGGAGCAGCGGCCCCACGTAGAGCCCGACACGCGTGACGCGCCCCTCCACCTCGTCCTGCGACTCCGCAATCCTCAAGCCGCTGCCGCACTCGTGTCGAGAGAGGCGCGGCAGCGCCCGGCTCGGGGCCGACACAAGCGGCAGCACACGGCCCCCGCCGCGCCCCGCTTCAGCCAAGGCGGAGGACGCGGGTTGGAGGTAGCTGTGAAAACACGCGCTAACACGCTCGATCCACACGTTCTGCCAATGCGACTCGCTCTGGGTCACGGCGGCGAACGAGGAGGAGAGCCTCGCCGCCGTCCGCAGCGTGGCGGGGGTGGGAAGAAAAGCGAGGACGAGCTGCAGGACGTCGAGCGGGAGCCGCGACAGAGACAGCGACGGTCGCTCGTGCGCCCCATTCGCCGCCTCGACGTCGAGTCTCGCCATGGCACGTGCAGGCGTTTGTATTCAGACTCCGTGTTTGGTTGGGCGGCGACGCTGCCGGCTTCCCCCCACTCCGCTTCCTCTCTCACCCGACGAACAGTAATAACGGAACAACTAGACTAAAAAAGAAGACGCTACTTCTCCCCCCCCCCAAAGCCACACAGTGAGCAAACACACAAAGAAAAAAAAAGAAATGGAGGGAGGGAGTGACACAGACACACACACACACACAAACAAACAGAGATGGAGAGACGGGGTAAGGCAGGCGGAAGACATACGAGGAAAGGATTGAGCCGCACACGAAG